ACAGCATTGTAACCAAGACCTTCAGTTAAAGGGTCTTTGGGGATTTGATAGTCCACAGCATTGTAACCAAGACCTTCAGTTGGGGATTTGATAGTTCTTGTCCTCCCCCCACACTGCACATACTTCTTGGAACATGCCATGTCCTTAAGCAATAAAGGCACGGAGGAAATTACGTAGTGTGCAGGATGGGCTGTTCCCGGCCATCCTGTTCAAGTGTTGTAAGGCTTTGGGTCTTTGTATCCCAGCCCTACCTGGAGGTGTATGAAGTGGTCTTTTTATTGTTGTTTTGTTTTGTTTCTTGGTGCATTTCTTAGTGGAAGTCTGTAGAAACATCTTGCCAACTCAAAGCAAGTTTAAGGCCTGAAGCTCCTGGGTCGTGCCCGGAGGAGGTAGCAGGGGAAGGCGTAGCGGGATCCTTTCTGAGGAAGGGTGGGAACACATAATTTTTACAGGCTTCCTCATTCCACGGAAGTAGCAGTGAGGGAATCTTCCCTTAGGAGCAAGGTTCATCCTGTGAACCTTTGCTGCCTGAAAGTCCCAGTTGCCTTTTGAAACATATCCTTGTGTTGTGCAAGAGGCTGTTTGTCTGGCAGCCTTTGTGCGGGTTTTTTCTCTCGAGTTGCGTGGGCTGTTGTACAGTGAACTCCCAGCCTGTGCACTCTTACTGGCTGGAAGGGATCCTATGGGGCTGGAATTGATGACACAACATTTTTCCTCTGATCTTCCACACCTCCCCCTCCCCAGAGGAGACAGGGGAGCCCCGAGTTCAGAAGGATCCTCCTCACCATATTACAAATCATCCGCAAGGGATTTCATGAGCAGACTTCACTGTTTCACTGTTTCCGTGAAGGCAGCATACTTCTGCATTATTTAGGAGAAATTCCCCTAGGTAAAATAATCAATGAGCAAAAGAGGATCATCTCGGATGTTGAGCTTCCCCCCCCCGCCCCTTTTTTTTCTCCTTTCCCTCCTCCTAAGTCCGATGGCATAATTGCATTTGTGCTTGTCTTGCCTTTATGAAAGGTGCTAGTCAGTAACCTTGATTAAATGACCTGCAAGTTATGAGCCACACAGGAGCAATCGCTAATCTCTTTGGTAGCAACAGTTCTTGCTGATGGCTTGAGTGCCTCCACCTAGGGAAAGGCTATCGTGTCCTCCGTCAGCAGGATGCTGAAACATGAGATAATGCTGCTTGGGTGCCTCCGTACTGATGTGTGGGCGAACTCAGAGGGGAATTCTGCAAGGCACCTCTTCCCTTTAGAAGTTGCCATGTCATGTTTGCTTGCAGGCATGTCAGTGAAATGGCAATTTGGATGACAAAGTTTTTTTCTGGTCTTTGGAGATAGGGGGCCACAATGTAAAATCTGCAAATCCAAATGATCCCATTCAGACACCACCGGAGCAGCAAGTGAGGAGTGTACCTGGAGCAGGATGGCTCCTCTTGACTTTTCATGGAGCAACTGGGGTCACTGTTGCAGTCTGCAGCTGAAGCCTTCCCCCAACCATAACAGCATCTCTGCTGCAGTGCAGGTGTTATTTTTTGTACAGAAGGCTATGGGGACAGACTCAAACCAACTGCTTAAGTTCAAGGTGAGGCTCCTCTGTTTATTCAGAGCAGTGGAGATGTTTTCCTCTGAAACATCCAAGCTTCAGTCAGTATTTCTGCTTTAAAAATTCCATTTTTATTCTCTTCCCCCGCTCCAACTGCCCCATCTTTCCCTGCCTCATGGTAAGAATGAGCTTAGTGCCCTCTCAGTAATTCCACTGATTCAGGTATGGAAACTGTGTTTGCTTTTGGAGAGCAAGAGTGGTGCTGGGCTGTGAAGCAGGGGGTCCTGGGGGGCTGCCTTCTGTGGCAAAAGGCAGCCCAGTGATTTGCCGGGAACCCCTAAGCCTGGCAGGCAGGAATAACATGAATCACTCCAAGAAAAAAAAATAAATAAATAAGTAGGATATGCAGGAAAGGAACGTCTGCCAGGAACGAGTGCTGCTAACGCAGGAGGTTACATTGAAGAATCTTCCAGAAGATATTTAATTGATTAGGTTTTGTTACATGACTGAAGAGCAAAGTCTGAATGCAGTCAAGTAATGAATGGCATATTGATAAGAAATTCAGAGTCGTATTGTTTTTCATGGGTTTCCCTGACGGTTTCTATGGGGACAAAGACGCATTTCCCGTCTGAGTGCTGCTGCTGCCCTCTGATTGCACTTCTGTGGTTTCATTCACCAGTAATGGGAAAGCATTCACAGGCAGAATAGCTTCCCCTTTTTAAATAGCCATGATTCAGGGTTGTGTCTTTTCTTTTTTTTTTCCTGCATTAGACTAATGCAGTGTTTTATCAATGATCTGATAGATGCATAATGCTCTTTTTCCAAGTGCTTATTCAGTGTCTGCATTAAAACTTGAAATTATGTACTGTAATTACGTAAGCCTCGACAAAAGTCTTTGTTGCGCTGCAGTTTGTGTACAAAGTGAGTCTCATCCGGCTTTGGCAGCCGCTTACATTTGAACTTTAGGGATTAATTTTGTTGCAACCATTTGAATGATAGAGCTGAAATGCTGATGCTTTTGGAAAGCTTTTCTCTTGTGGAGGTCCTTCAGTTGAGTGATGGGCATTCATTTATCAGAAATTCAGAGGTTTATAGAAATGTGACTTTAAAAAAAAAAGATTGATTTTTTGTTTGTCCTCTTTCTGCTTTGTGATGGGAAGCATTTCAAAGCCGATTGTGATTCCACGTTTCAGTGTTTGGTTTCGAGTCTGTCCCTTGCCTGCCAAGTGTTGAATTTAGGGTTGTCTGTTTACTCTGTGATTGGTCGCGCTTCCCACCCTTTGCTGCAGAGGTTCAGTATTTTCAGAAGTTACTTGCAATTTTGAAGGTCTGTTTGTTGTCTGTGGTTTTTGGGTGACTTTTTTTTTTTTTTTTTCTTCTCTGTGGCAATTAAACTTCAGTGCTCCCTGCAAGGGAGGGAGTCTAGAGATTGCTTTACTTCCAGCATGTCTTTGTGTATTTAGGCCTCCTTCTTTCCTGTTCCTCCTGCCCCTAAAAACAAAACAAACAACCAAAAAAGCAAAGTCTTCGCCAGACATACTGAAAACAGAGCTCCTTTAAGCAATGCTTGAAATGCAGGGGGAAGGAAAGCTGGCGGGAGCAGGAGCCAGGGATAGCTATTCCTTGCAGTGATGAAGAGCTGTGTACAGGAATGTAGCAGCTCCTGAGCCAGGCTACTCCTTCCAGGTTGCCTGTAAAACATCACCAAAAAAAAGCATGCTTTATAATAAAATAATAATATAATATTAAAATAATGGCAAAATAAAGGCAGAGATGTGCAGTTTAAAATGGCACACTGCACTGGAAACGGTGTTCAGTATACGGATTGCAATCTGTATATAAGTGAGATGTTTAAAGGCAGCTGTCACTTAAGGGAAGGTGGACCGGAATGAGTCTCCTCTAATCCCCCGGTCTTGGTCATGGATGGAGAAGGCCACAGGGAAGACTGAGCAATGGCCTCTGTTTGTCGAAGCTGAACGACAGGGCTGCTCATCCTTTCACGCTGAAAATCTGTGCTATTGCAGAGCAGCCCAAATGTTAAAAAAGCAAAGTCAAACATCTGAGTTGCTAGTGGTGTGCAGAAAAAGTCCCAGGACATGGGTGACGTACCTGGCAGGTGAGTGCTGAAGAGAGGGAAATGCATCTGCTGCGAGCAGCATGTCCAGCAGTCACACCTGCACTGGGGCCTTTGCTCCCACCTACTGCTAAAAGGTGTTGGGCTGGCAAGAAGGAGGGCTGAAGGTTGTGTCTTTCATATCCTTTGGGAGCTTTTGTTTCCTCAGCCCTGTCAGCAGGATGGCAAACCTGGTTGAGTGGTTGCTTCCTATGGAGCAGCGGCCGCTGCCACCAGCTGCTCTTGCATCTACTGGTTTAACTACCCTTGTAGCATGCAGGGGGGCTGCAAGCTGCTACATTTCTTGTGTGGGAGAGAAGGATGAGCACTGAGCATTTTTTATTTTAGACAAGAACAGGCTTTGCAGATTGCCTTTTCAGTTTTGTAACCACATGGGCATCCAAATAAAATTCTGCAGCAGCTCTTGGAAATACAAAAGGAAAAATTAAAAAAGGGTAGATGCGTAAGCAGCATTTCCCTGTGCTGTTGACATGCGAATGGTAAGAGAGCATGTGCGGGGGTGAATTCCCTCCTGTAAGCTGTTTATAAATAGCATCCTCTTCCCCGTTCCCGGTGTGTGTGTTCCACTTCTCGCTAGCTTGAGGGAGTCGATGCCTTCCTGTCTGGCAGTTTAGTGACTTAATGCGTGTTTGAGTAGCTGGCCTCGCTGGTTTATTGCTACACATAGTTCTGTGTGGAAAAACTGAGGTGGGTGATGCAAATGGCACTGCGGCTCATGCCTCTGCCTTCCCTCTCGCTTCCACCTCGCTCTCCTTGGTGAGCACTTCTCTGCTCAGTGCAGGCATGGGGAGCTGTCTGAGCTGAGCATCGCAGACGGCTGTCCTGGGGCTGTCCCTCAATTCAACCTGCGATGCAGGCAGAAGGAAATTGCTGTGATCTCCGTAATTGCAGCGGGTTTCTCCTTGCAGCTGGCTTCCTGCGTGAGGCATTGCTGCTGCAAAGTACCACTTGAGCGCCCATGGCCAGGAGAAGGGCTGTTAGTCTGGCAATGGTTAATTAATGAGGAAGCAGGTGTGCTGCACAAACCGCAGCAGCATCTGCACGGGAGGAGAGAACACAGGCCTGTTTAACGAGCGAGCGAGCTGCCTGGACGCGCGGGACGTGGAAGCCAGGTATCCCGAATCCTGCGTTTATGACTTCCTGTTTGCAGGCGAGTTGCCAAAGGGGCTTTCACCTCTGCTGGTAAATGTCTTGAGTTGCTGAAAAAGTCCAAGTGTCATTATGAGAGTTTATGGCACAGTTGCCTTTGGAGTACTCCATGGAGTAAAGTGCTCTTCTGTTGGAAGAAGATAGTGCTGAGCTGCCCTGGAACCTTGGCTGAAGCCAGGGATGGTCCAGCTGTCTTTTGCAGCTCAAGCTCAAGCAATGTTGTCTTCAGTAAACATTTAAGAAACAGGGCTCTCCTTGTCTGTTTTAATGCCTGTTAAATGATGGGCTTTAGTTGAGAGCCATGAGTTCCGCTTTCTGTGTTGAAATTCAGTCCCTGGCTAAGAAAGTCTGCACTTTCAGAATATGGCCGTGACACAGGGCTAAGAGACCATGTAGCCCAATGAGGCTGTGGGACTAGAGCAGTAATGGCCAAAGTTATGATCCCCTGAGTTTCTGGCCTCAAAAGGGAAGGGCGCTGCTGCTAGGTCATGCTTCATCCAGATGCACTGAACAAATTCTGTTGCACCCATATACTGATTCTGCTCTTAAAGCCAACCATTTCTGGCAAACAGCTTAACTAGTTGGTCATCCTTTCAGATGCCTTCAGAAGGGTCAGATTTTTAAATACTAGTTACTGGTGCTTGCAGTCAGAATTAAAAGGAAAGAAAGGTAATGTTAATGCTGTGCCTATGGCAAGGAACTTTTTCTTTGGTAGGTTTGTTTGTTTGTTTGTTTTCTCTCTATTGTGTGAATTTGCAATCTAGATAAGACATTCCTGTCAGCACACTGCAAGCCTTTTTCTAGCCTTTCTGATCATTACAACACAGAGTTATTCTGATTCCTCTAGATAGACAAACTTGTCATTAATCTCACAGTGTGTTTCACATGATGTCCCTTACCCCAGAAGTCTGCTTAGGAAGATCTCTTAAACTTGCTCTTCCTGAATATGCTGTGATAAATAAACAAGTTGGCAGATCACAGCTTTCATATAGGGTCAGAGTGATAATTTTATTCCTCTTGAACTTTGTGGAATTACAGGTGCAAATAAGTGCTCACCATCATGAATTTGTCAAAATAGCTTCCTCTAATTAGGCTTAGACTTGGATTTGGACATGAGACCTAAACACATACATAAGAGGGCAGCTAGCAAATCGTCTTGAGGTTTGCATCTTCTTTTGTAAGTCACGTCCACGTGAACTTTACCAAACACATGAAAATTCTCCATTCCGAAGCTGCATTGGCAGTAAAGAACTGTTTAGATTCTTCTGCTGTTCAGGAGGGCCTGTACAGACTCCCAGTAAATTGATTATTTACCCTCTACAGGCAAAATGCTGCCATAACCCATATAAAAAGTATTGATATTGAAATGAGAAGGATCAGCTTATTCCCTATATGTTCATCTCAATGTGTCTTAACTGGCAATGTTCGATATTTATTCCCACTCCCACGAGTGGGAATTTCCACTGAGGTAGTTCTACAGTTGTTGAATTTAATAGGATTTTGTTATTATGATCATGTAACTGTATTGGCCTGGAATTTGTGTTTTAATGTTCACTTACCCTGTTATTACTTTCTTTTGACCACAGGACTAGAGTGAAATTGGAAAGCCTAGAAGATGCTTATATTTTAAGAGGAAATGATGACTCTCTTTCTGATAAGCATGGATGCCCAGCCTATGTGAGTCCAGAGATCTTGAACACAAATGGCAGCTACTCTGGCAAAGCAGCGGACGTATGGAGTCTAGGTGTCATGCTTTATACCATGCTTGTTGGACGCTATCCTTTTCATGACATTGAGCCTAGTTCCCTCTTCAGCAAGATCCGTCGTGGGCAATTTAACATTCCAGAAACTCTGTCCCCCAAGGCAAAATGCCTCATACGTAGCATACTGCGTCGGGAGCCATCAGAAAGGCTGACTTCACAGGAAATTCTGGACCATCCATGGTTTTCTACAGATTTTAATGTATCAAATTCAGGATATGGTGCTAAGGAAGTATCAGATCAGCTGGTGCCTGATGTCAACATGGAAGAAGACTTGGACCCATTCTTTAACTGAGCACAAAGACTGGTGTTCAGAAGGTACACAACCTGGAGATGGACACATGAAGGAGCCCTTCCTGACCGTGTTAAATCACATCCTGCATCAGCCTAGCTTGGTAGCAAAAGACACTTGGAGATCCTTGGATTGAGAAGGAATCTCCACAAGGAGCTAATATAACAAATGTAGCATGGGGACAGATTGGGGGGGAGGGAGGGGAGCTTGCTATCAGGTTAGATTGATTTGGAGGAAAAAAAAGGCAGCATGGAGCAATTGTAGCTTCTCACCTTTCTGGAGCCAAGGAGACTGCACATGCCAATTCTGGTGCAGCTATGTCACTCCTGTTTCTGTTCCATTAAAAATAGTTGTAATTCACAACAAATAGAAACTTCTTTGCCTCAACTCACATCTTGGCATCGCACTGTTAGATATTTAACTTCAGCCATTATTCAGGGAAAGTACAATTGGCTAACATTTTTTTAATCGGAGGTCTAATAATTAATGGGTTTAATTTAAGAAAAAATTAGGTGCACAAAACGGACATGAAAAGTGGGTGCTAAAAATAAAGAAAATTTCAGTTCATGTCTCTTGATAGCTATTTTCAACTCATTTCTTCTAAATAAACTACTTAATATTCTTGTCAGGAAATGACATTTTAATGCTTTGTTCCCTTAAGGGGAAGTAACTGTCATTTAACAAGCTGTTCTGTTTTGTGTCAAATGGTTTGTTGCAGGAAGCTATTATAACTCAAACTTCCAGATGCATTACTGCTATAATAGAAAAAAAGAAAAAAAATTATATAATTTTTTTTTAAGATACAAGATACTGGCTTCCATATCTGCCATGCTGCACGTATATGACTAGAGAGGGCAGAAAGCCCTTAATCATGTCTTTATCTGAGAACCGATCTCTTCTTTAACTGACTTGCCCACATGTAAATAGAGGGCTCTTTATTATTGAAGAAGAGTATTGTATTTTTTTTTCTTTGAATTCCTCTCAACTTGGGAAAAGAATTGTTTGGATTTGATTTTTGTTTATGTCCAGAATAAGAAATAAGAGGGTATTAATAAGCTGAACATTTATATTACAGATATTCCTCTTGAAACATACACAGTAATATGCACCTTTTGTATTGTCAAGACTTATTCTATTTATTGAAGAAAATGTCACAGTAGTGATGTATTAAGCCAGTACTTCAATTACGGGTTGACTTGGGATGACATGTTACATGCTGTAGTTAACACACTTCTTTTCTGTTCAGGTATTTCTGTCCCTAAATAACTTTTTATTTAGCTTTTTTTTTTTTTCTAGATAGCTTTATTTGATTTAGACTGGCAAATGTTTTTATTACTGCTTTTATATTGCTGTATGATATTGAAATCTCTTGGCATAAATATTTGTGTTTCCAGTACCTCAGTTGTTCTGATATTACTGCCTGTATACGTTTTGTGAAGTGGTCATGTTTTTTGGGTAGGTACACGTGGACTCTGTAGTATGTAAATGTTACTTGAATTTGTGCTTAATTATAGTATGTGGCATGTGCGTACAGCTACTTGGCATTTGACGTATGGATGCTATTTGCCTGCTCTGCAGGAAAGTTATGGTCCCACTCTCAAGAGGATGTTTCACAGTTCTTTATCAAGAGACAAAGCTAGCTGCAGCTGACCTGCCTTGGTTCTATTTTGGTAACTAAGAATAAAAAGGAGTAATGTTTTTACACTCTGAAGATGGTGCTGTGTCAAGAAGGACTTTTTTTTTTTTTTTTTTTTTTTTTAAAGAAAAAGTACCTTATAGGAGGAAAGATTGGTGATGTGCATGGTGGGGTTTTACTGCCTCTGGTGCTTTGTCATGTATTTGGTTTAATGTTTTTGTCCTAATCTCTTCAATAAATAAAATTGTGCATATTTAACTAAATTTCAGTTGTGAACAATGTTCTTTGGAAGGTCTGAGGTGCTGTAGGAGTTTTCTCCTTTAGGAACATTCATCTCTGTACTGCTCACAAGCCAGACCTATGAACTAAGAAAACTTGGGACTTATATTTATAAAGTCACACTGTGAGTCTTTTCATCTAAATTTTTACAATATTGTACAAATGAAACTGGCTTCTGTTTTATTTCCTTTTGATGTGACACTATCAGGCCTATTTTCTTTTTTATTGGAGTATATTCAAATGTGTTGAGAACTATATCTTTCTGTTGATGGCAGACTCTTCTATTGATGTAAAGTGATACAAAAGCAGAGCAAGATGGTATTTACATTTTTTTTCAAAGTACTAGAGAAGTGTGAATTTTGCATTTATTCCTCCATTCCAGAAAAGGTGGATCTGAAATAGTCCCTCCCAATTAGATATCTTATTTAAGCCTGGAGTTTGTTACTGTCATTTGTCTTGAATCATAATTAATAGATTTGCCTCAAGTGAGATCACCTAGAAGAGAGTGTGAAATAGTAAGGTGCTCTGCCAACATGAGTCAAGATAGATGGCCCTTTGTCCAGTTAAAAAGGACTCTTTGAATGGGATTAAATATGAACCAGGATGTAATCTACTTTTGCCAGTTCTGTGGCATTAAAAAAAGCCTTAGTAGCCAATGACCAACCCTAAACAAACACATGCCCCAGTTTCTCCACTTCAAAATAACCAAAGATTCTGCTAAAAATGCTAGCACTGGATTTACTCCAGACTGGCTAATGTTGTAGTACATGGTTTCATCCTAGGTTGATTCTTGGCATGTGTTGAATATTTTTGTTGGTAAATTGAGAATTCTTACTTACAAGACCAACCAAAATTGTCATTAATATGTGGAAACACTTCAAGATTAGTTTTTAAATGATCTGTGTGCCTGCAGCCAAAGTTTAAATTACTTGAAACTCTTTCAAATCAAACTCCCACAATAAATGTGCTTTATAGAAGAAAGCAGATTGTAATCAGTCGTAGAGAGAAGGGGAGGGAGGAGCGCCGATAGGATTTCCCTCTCCCCCACTGAAACTTATGCGAGCGGCTTCTGTTCTGTTTGGGTGGAAGTAGTTAGACCTTATTTTACAGCAACCTGCACACTTGCTTTTTCACTGCCAGTAATTACATGAAAAATGTGGCTGACTAATGATTGCTCATTTACAGTGAATTTTATATATTGAAGGCAAAAACTTCCTTGGTGTGACTGTAGAGGAATCCTTTGGCAGCTGAAGGAAGCTGCTTTATGAAATGCTGAGGGGGCTTTCTGAGTCTCCTAGTCCTTGAAGTGAAGCTTGGAAAAGGGAATGTGTGATTCGAGCAGCTTGTTTCTGGCTCTTTCTAATTATTCCTTTATGGACGCTTCTAGTGGAGTACTTGTAGGGGACCGTGTGCTGTGGAGATGCCTCAGCAGCTTCCTTAACACCCTCTCTTTGGGTAGCAACTGCAGTCAGATTTATGATCCTGCCGAGTGGAGATGGCCAGAGGGGTCCAGTGGCCTCCAGGTTTTGTGGATTGGGCTGGCGATATAAAAAAAAATGAGGACAGAAAGCTGTGTCCATAAATGAAACCCCTTGGTACACCATGCCTCCAGTTCTAGAGTGCAAAACTGCTCTCCCTAACCCTCTCTTTCTCCTCTACCTCATCCACCTTCCAAAAAAACCCACAGTATTTCATTATTTACAATGACCTTTTTTTTTTTTTTTCAGTGCAGTACCATGACGTTATATAACCTGATCCCTTACTGAGGTGTCAATGTTTTATGGAAATAAACAAGTCAATTAAAAGTAGATTCTCTTAGACAAGAAAGAAAAAAAAACTTAGAAAACCTGTGTTTCTAAAAAAGAATAAATAATAATAATAAAAAACCCAAAACACCAAACCACACTTTCCTGGCAGGCAGAAAGGAAGGGTGTGAAATGCGATGCCAAAGAAAAATTACTGGGAAAGGGAAAAAAGTAGTACTCCTCATCCTGAAATGATTATGTTAAAATTTGGGAATGTATGAGTGAGCACTGTGACTAATAGCATAATGAATACCAAAAGAATTAGTAATGATCAGTTCTTTATTCTTTTACTTTTCTCTAAAGTTTCTATGAAAAACTTGCTAATTTAATAAGTGACAGTACAACTAACAACTTAACTAACTTGTAGCTTTCCACAAGAAGCAAATGTTGAAAATTGGTAACATGATGAGATAAACTGAAGTCAAAGAATCAAAGTGTAGGTAAAGCAGGGTATAAACGAGCTATAATGTGGTGTAATTCCACTGGAACAAGAAAAATGATGGAGAAGAATTTAATTCAAAAAAAAAAAAAAAAAAGCTTAAGAGAGGTTAATTCTGACTTTGACTTTCGCCTTTCCCGTAGCCCTTGTTAGTTACATTCTCAGTATTGGTTTCCACATCCCTGTTTCTGCTTTTTCTGACTTCTGATTTGAGCTAATTTAGCCCATTTGCCTGAAATTTTGAGCCTCTTGAAATGAGATTTTTTCTCCAGTGACTTCTATAAGATTGCAAAACTTTAGGCCATATTTGCCTTGCTAGTGTATGTATATGTGAGGAAAATTGCATTTAGAGTGATAGTGGTGTAAATCTGGAGAAATTCATTTGGCATTATTTGTGTGGATGTAAATGAGCCTGGAAATGACTTCTTGAGGGCCTAAATAAGCCTGACTTGTATGCTTAGAGATGCCTTTTATTCTAGTTATTGTTCAATTTAAATTCATTTAAACTCCTCAGTAAAAGTGGCTCAGCCCAGCTTTCGTATGGGAGTAGATCACACTGTTCTGGCTCTCCTGCCGCCTTAGCACAACATCCATAGCCTGCAGGGAAAAAATAAAATAATCTTGGTGTGGCAGCTTGTGGAAAGTAATAGGTTAGTTGCTGCATTTATTTCTGCTCAAGAGATTAAAGTGCAATTGCAAAGCTGGTGCTGACATCATTCTAAGCACACAAATACAGCTGACGTCAGTTATACAGTGTATTGCAAGGTGTTTATCTCCATCTGATTAGGCTAGCAAAATGCATACTGCAAAGCCAGCACACAAGGAAGAAAATGGTGTATTTGCTCATGCTTCTCATTTGTCCTCTGACAGGGTAATCGGTCCTAGAAAAGACAAAAACACTTTGCACTTTGTAAGAGTTTTGTAAGGATCTGTGGAGCTCCCATTGGACTTGACATTTTCCCATGTTTACACTGATGCCTTAACGTCAGTGTTAAGGTGTACACTTTGTTTGACTTAGATGATGGTCAGCCCCTCCTTGCAGGGAAGTCCACACCTGACCTTCTGGTCCATCTGAAGTGATAAGCTAGAAAGGTACATCATAACATAACAGTGCAAACTGTTATTTTAAGAGTTGTTTGTTTATTTAAGGGCATTTAAAGTTTGTTTATTAGCTTGTTTATTTAAGTGTGCATGATAGGACAGCAAGGAAGCCAAGAGGGAGGCAGCCAACTGGCTGTTAGCGTGAGTGGTGCTACAGCCTCAGCACGTAACCGGGGGAAGCGAGCAGTAATGGGTGCTGCCAAAGGGGTTGGAGTTATGATTCTTTAGTTTTCCTGCTGTGCAGGCACTTACCTGAGATGTGGAAGAGAGCAACAGAAAGTCAAGTGTTTCTTCTTTCCTGACAAGATACCACTGTGCCTTAAGGTATCTTCAAAAAGTCACTTCTGCCTGTAATAGTAAATATCTGCACTAAGAAGGTTGTGTGGATCATTCCTATTATAGAATCAAGCTACAATTTTTCAAGGTGTGGGGCAGAGTAGACAAATGTCTGACTGCTGCTCGTACTGCCTCTAGGAAGCCAAGTCAATAACTACGTGTTGCATGAGAACGGAAATAAATATATACTTATGTCTGGACAATTCCCTGTGAGTATGTGACTTGGACACCTCTGCTTCTAGAAGAGGAATCCCATTGGTGCATGTGGACCTCTAGATGCAAGTATTGACTAGCTGAATGTTGCAATCCAATGTTCATTTCAATCTTATTTTTTTCTTTCAAGTTGTTTGCAGCCAGTGTTTCTCTTGTAAAAGCTTATGGTTAAAATTTGATCTAATTCTAGATATCAGGATGAAATTTAGGTACACGTTTAATTCAGAATTGAAATATCATGGGCCTAAATGTTTAAGTTCCACTTTATACTGTAACCACTTCATTTTGGAAGTTCATTATCAACCTTCTAGAAAGAATGGAATTCATGTGTGCTGGTCACCAAAGTGCTAATCGACCTGCTGTTACTTCATATTTTGTTGTAAGCTATTCCTTCTTATATGTAATCACTGTAAGCACAGATGATCTATACTTCCTAAGTGTTTATAAGTGCTGATTAAGAGTGTTAGCTTTCACATTAGAAAAAAATGTGCCTAAACCTTGTGAATAGCCTTTAGAATAGTTATAAGATTAAATGTCTTTATAGGTAAAAGTTGCAGCTCTTTTGGGTACAGTTACTTACAGGGTGCCAGCTGCATTAGGGTAAAAGGGTTATAAAAACCTTTTATTAGATTATCTCTTATTTTAAAAAATTACATAACATATCTGTTCTCTTTGGTAACCCTAGTCAAGACAAATCAAGTTAGTACGCTCAGGATGAACAAGAACATGCATATTTTACCAGGTGTTACGTTTTACAAACTCTATAATTCAGCAATCAAAAGAACAGACCTTAGAAGAGCAATAGCATGATTGCAACAGAGACTTTATGGCTGAGAAGTGAAAAAAAAAAAAATCTCTCTTTTCAAAGTGATGAACAATGTTGACAAATCCTTTTCCTTGGTACTGTGTAGAATACCAAACCCTTGCTCTGAGTGCTCTGAGAAGCTGCTAACATGAATAACCAGTGATCTCATGTAACTTCAGGACAGCAGTGAGATTTGTCAGAAAGTTAGCAATGTGCTGTCTTTAATTTAAAAAAGTACCATCAGACAGCATGAAATGCATGATTCAGAGACATCCATGGACATTT